TGTACATATTGCATCAGTTCCATAAAGTTAACAAAATCAATCACATAAAAATATCAATTACAGTAGCCTTCTACATTGAATAACCCCATTTTTAACCTAATAACTGAATTATACAAAAATAAAAATAAAATGTAACTCAAATCTAAATGAAAAAAAAAAACCTAACAAACACTTGAATCCTACATGCATGAACCGTAACAAATCTCTGCTATCTCATGAACTCTAACAAATAGAAAAGAGAATACAGAGATTGAAAAATAATCTAACAAAAAGCTTACCTGGTGATGGCAAGTGCTTTGCTGGAGAGCGAAAATTCAAATTGAAATTGAAATTGAGAAGCCTATACTTGTATGATGGCAAGTGCTTTACTTTGTTGGAGAGCAAAAATTCAAAATTCAAATTGAGAAGCCTATACTTGTATATATATGAGCTATATATGTAGTTAATCCACAGTGTACGCCATGATGGACATCTGATTTGGGCGATTGATTTGAGGATACTGAGAGCTTACCGGAGCTGATTTGGGGATAGTGAAAAGATGATTTAAGAATGAAAAGTATCCTACTGAGAATCATAATTAAGAAAAATGGAGTTTTAAATGAAATTAAGGAAAAGAAATAAATGAAATTAAGGAAAAGATGCTTACGTATAAAATGAAAGGAAGAAAGGAAATCTGTTTAAAAAAATTTTAAATTTCAAACAGCGGTTCAAAGCGTCGTAGTTTTGATTTTTAAAATTTCGAACAGCAGTTCAAAGCGTCGTAGTTTTGATAATAACCGCTGTTATTGGAATATTTAATATGATGTGTGGAAAGACGTCGTATTATTTTACGTTTGCGGCGTATGAAACCGTCGTAATATAACCGCCGCAATATTTTTATTTTTTGTAGTGATACCAAATCTGCATCTTTCCTTTCAAGGCATTAACCTTCTTCCAGTTCCAACTTGAATGCAATGGTGGAGTATGTATCCATATGTTATCATTGTTTTTCATATATACTTCATGTACCCACTTGATCCATAACACATCTTCCTTCACAGCAAGTTGCCATAGCAGTCTACCAACAGAGGCCATATTCCACAACTTACTACCTTAGATGTTCAAGCCACCAAACTTCTTAGGAATGCACACTTGTTCCCAAGAAACTAATGGCACTTTTCTTGCTTCCTCAGTACTTCTCCACAAATAATCTCTACATTTTTTATCCACATTCTTTAGTACACTCTGAGGCAATATGAATACAGAACAGTGAGAAATAATTTATGTGGTAGAATATGATTTTTCCACTTATTTTACATCGAACTAGCTCACTAGAGAACGTCGTACAATTAAGCACAAAACAATGTCGAGTTAATATCTCAAAAGGTTACTCAATTTTGAAAATTTATCTAGCAAAATCAATAAACTTTATTTCGTATTAATAAAATCACTTAATTTAGGCCTTTATATCAATAAAATCACTCAACCAAATTTATCATTAAAAAACAAAATAAATTATTTTTTATATCTGATCACAATTAAAATAATAAATAAATAGCTTAAAATTACATAAAATAAAATAATAAAATATAATTTTATCAATTTCATTTGACTAATTACTACTGCTTCATAAAATTTCATTTGATTAATTACTAGTGCTTCATTGCGGCTAAAAATTTTCAACTTTATTTGATAAATTACTGCTTCATTTACTGTAACCACACTTACTGTGATGGTTTAATTAATTTACTGTTTGTGTGAATCTCTTTTTTCATTTTAAAAATAAAATAAAATAAAAGTGAGGTTCATGTATCATGATGCCAGCTTGGAGAATTTTAGGTTCAAGTTTGATAAATTTATCTTTTATTTTGAATTGTATATTATTTTATAATGAAATAGTAATTTTAAGTAATTTATTTAGTAGTTTAACCAAAGGTCAGGATTCATGTATTTATCGTCTCATGCGTATTCTAATTCATGCTGGCTTATATATTGAAGAAGAAGAGGATTATTTACTTATTTACTCCGTCTTCACGTCTTCTCCTTAAAGACGAGCCTAATAATTTGAGCATGATTCCTTTTATTCAAATGATACTTGATCCAATTATGATGGATCCGTGGCACTATCTCAGCCAATGGATCCAAAATGGCGGGCCTTCTCCATTTGCCACCACTCATGGCAAGCACATCTTTGAAGGAACCAAAATTTAACCGTCTATTTAATGATGCCCGTTTGGTCATGAGCGTGTTGATTGAAATCGTTGCAGGAGGCACTGGAACAGTAGCTAAAGCTATTATTTCCACAAATAAATTGTACTGTCTTAGATTTGGCTCATGTAATTGAAGGGAGCAAGAACCTGAGCTATGTCGGAGGAGACATGTTTAAGTCCGTTCCTTCTGCCGATGCAGTTTTACTAAAGGTACTTATATAAATAACTTGAGATACATATTTAGATACTATCTATTAATTTTATGTATATAAATTAATTAGTGGTTTATATATGATGAATGACAATTAAGTACAGTGGATATTACATGACTGGGGCAACGAAGATTGTATAAAATATTGAAGAAGTGTAAAGAAGCAATTCCAAGTAAGGAGAATGGCGGAAAGGTGATCATCATTGACATGGTGATATTGGATAGCCAGAAAGGAGACGACAAATCATATGAAACTCAAATCTACATGGACATGCTTACTATGGTTGTGGTTTCTGGAAAACAAAAAACCGAACAAGAATGGGCAAAACTATTCTTTGATGCTGGTTATAGTGACTACAACATTATTCCCATCTTAGGATTAAGATGTGTTATTGAGGTTTACCCTTAATCTACACTACAAGGCTTGGACTAACTACCGTACCCTGCAGCGAGTGACGCATATATATATATATTTTGCTACTAATAAAAATCAGTAATCTAGCGAACGTTCCTCTCGTTCCCGTTCTTATTCTTCGTACGATGTATGTATTAATAAAAGAACTGCATGTCATATAATCATTTTCTACTGATTTCCATCTGAAATATATAGTCTACTTATGTTAGGATCATAATCGTTATTAAAATCTCTCCTGATCTCTTGCTTTTAATTTTATCTTTTAAAGATAATTTTTCAACAAATAAAATTCACTGCAACTAATGTTCCATTTCATGAGAATCTGATGAAAATTTTATGGGCAAAATCAACAGTATACCGTAGACCTTAGGATCGGTCAAATGGTTTTAATTTATTTTTTTAAAACGATTGACCATCCAATCCGACCCATAACATTTTTTTTAAAATGGATCAAATATAGATAATTATATATCCACTAGAAAGGGTACATTCCGATGAATAATATGGATATCTATATCATATAATCATATACCCATTAATTTGTATGCTTGTTATTTTCATGACTACTTATTTTCTAGGAGTCTAAGCTTATTTTGACGTTTAGCTTATATCGTTTTTACCATTTAATTACGCGGCATGTCCCTCTTATTAGTAAAAAAAGTCGGAATATTTAGACGATAGTAGTACCAGAGTGCATAACTCCTCCAAGGTTTTCAGAACAAAAGGGAAACTGAATTTACTCAAAGACTGTTTCTCCTCTGTGTGTAGGAAACAGAGGAGAACAAAATTTTAACTTCTTTACACAAATTGATTCCTTCTATGCACGTGGTTAACAACAGCCACATGAATCAAGTCCAACATATACGAGCTCTTATACTATTAGCATTAAAGATTTTTCAGGTGTCAAAATTGAGCCCAATTATAGGTAACTCGTTCAATTTGTATATAATTTTAAGGGTTGGGCTCAAGATAAGGCAAACTACATAAATCTCACTAATTTAGGTTTACTAAGATTCTCTATAGTTTTAAATATTACTTCATCTACCATATTTCATGCTTATGATACACAAGTTGGAATCCGTGAGATACATGTATCTGCCGAATTTTAAAACTGAGATACATATTTTATTTGTTTAAATTAATTGGTTGTAACTGATTTCCTTAATTAGAGAAGTAATTGAGGATTTTCAAAATACATGGACAATTAATTTTGAAAATTTAAATTAATAAAATCCCTTAATATAAGGCGGAAATCAAGAAGTGTATCTATGTTTAATTAATTTCATTTTGTTATTCTTGGAAATAATAAATTCATTAATATTATTAATAAAAGACAAAAACATGTATATTTTGGTCATGTAATTTGATTTATTTTATTTTATTTTATTATTAAATAATAAATTCATTAATTTGATGTATCTACTATCAACATATGATGTATCCAACAATCTAAACACTTAGATACATGAATATCATACAAGTACATTCATATGTATCATAGAAGTATCTAGTATTAATTTCATGTATTTGTT